GGCCAGAAAGGTGGCAATTTCAAGGAGACGGCAGAGACGCGCGGCGCGTCGCGGCTGGCTCCTGCTGGTAGCTCCTCGAAAGTGTCCTCGAATATGTCGTGCTCCAGCTTGTTAGTACTCCGGGTCACCAATTGTAGCGTGTGAGCTACGTCTTCAAGCGGACACGTTGTGTCGGGTTTGTCGGCGTGTTACCGAATGAATTTTATTCTTCGTTCTTCTAAGGTAATAGACAGAATGAGTGCGGTCGCGAGCCGCCATAATAGGCACCTCACCGGGATCACGGAGGACCACGCCGGAACCTCACCGGGATCACGGAGGACCACGCCGGAACCTCACCGGGATCACGGAGGACCACACCAGGATCACGGAGGACCACACCAGGATCACGGAGGACCTCACGGAGGACCTCAGCGAGTTTTGCCACGTCTCTGAGCTCTAGGTGGTCACAGGCTACTACCAGGTCTCGGACATGCGACGGCAGCGTCTGGAGATAGTGGAACCGGCAGAGCGGATTCTTTGAAGGGTTAGGATCGGGCCTATATAACCCAAGCATCCGGTCCAGAAGCCTTGTGGGAGTATCGTCGCCGATGGAAAGGTTGACGAGGGTCGCGAACCGCTCGTGCTGACTAACCTTGAAGGAGTCCAAAACGCGGGCCTTGAATGCCGAGTACCGGGTGCCAACAGCCGGTAAATCGTCGAAAAAGTCGCCCACCCTTTCCTGCGTGTCGGAATCGAGGGCCGTAAGAGCGTACTCGAACTTCGTCTGGTCGTCAACGATTTTCCTCAAGCTGAATTGAGCTTCCACGGTGATGAACCACACTGTAGCTTGCTTTGGCCAGAAAGGTGGCAATTTCAAGGAGACGGCAGAGACGCGCGGCGCGTCGCGGCTGGCTCCTGCTGGTAGCTCCTCGAAAGTGTCCTCGAATATGTCGTGCTCCAGCTTGTTTAGTACTCCGGGTCACCAATTGTAGCGTGTGAGCTACGTCTTCAAGCGGACACGTTGTGTCGGGTTTGTCGGCGTGTTACCGAATGAATTTTATTCTTCGTTCTTCTAAGGTAATAGACAGAATGAGTGCGGTCGCGAGCCGCCATAATAGGCACCTCACCGGGATCACGGAGGACCACGCCGGAACCTCACCGGGATCACGGAGGACCACGCCGGAACCTCACCGGGATCACGGAGGACCACACCAGGATCACGGAGGACCACACCAGGATCACGGAGGACCTCACGGAGGACCACACCGGGGAACGAGCAGCGAAATAGACTCGATGTTCACGCTGCTCTGCGGCTTTCGGAGACGACGTTGGATCCACTGATGGAGTTGCTGCTCAATGATCAAAAGGAGCGGAATGCGCACTAGTTCATCGTTAAATTAAGGAATAAGGAGCAGTGAATTGTGGTACATATTATGGAATGATCTTTTCCTTTCTCTCAGCGTGGAGTCTTCGACTCGTGAGTTCAGTGTTAGCGGTAGGGGGTACTCGGGAGACCCGACTGCCTCCAGGGGGCACCCAGGACGGAGGAGGCTGAGGACCACTGGTCTAGAAAACTACTTTCTTTCCTGCGTGAAGTCAAATTCCACCGTGCCGGCATTCGCGCCGGTCGTATTGCGGAATTTGCTTCGGCTTCGGCACCCGATCACCGGAGTAGACTTACTCGATGAGTTGATGCAACGACCATTTCCCCATAGCCGTTCGTCTTTCTCCATCTTGTTATGGATGATATACACCACTTCTGAGGCCGTCGAACTTGAGACTGATAATATTCCGCTTAATGAGACGTGGATCTAGGAGTCGTATGGTTGATTACGGGTCAGGTATTTACGGCTGTTCTCAAAATCTCGGCTGCTCTGAGCTCTACAATATTTTTCTATGGTACTGATCAATTTCCCACCATTTCCTCGGGAATCGCGTTTTTTCTGGTCCCCAAACTAGGTTCCCAGCTTTTTCCTCCGAGACCGCGGATAGCAGAACTACCTGAAGTCCATGAGTGAATTATGGAGATCCTTGAGCTGGACACGGTCGTAAGGCAGTGGCGGTTCCAGGAATCCTTCGAGGGGGCGGTCAACTCATCGAGGGAAGGGCGGTCCGGGTTCCGTGTGCTCCTTCAACATGGGAAGTATAGGCAGTCGGGACCCTCGAAGGGGGGGCATCTACGCCATCCACGGGGAAACTCTCCGAACGTTACACTAATCACTACAGAGTCGGCTAGAGACTTGAAGGGTTTGGGAACGAATTAGACGGAAAACTGAAAACGACGACGGAACAAGCCGCATTCAGAGCGAATAATTTTTCCCCGCGAAAATAGACACCGTATGCCTTCTTTAGTCCCTATACTCCCGGGATGGGTGCCTCAGGCGCGCCAAATATGAATAGAAGAAAAACTCCTCGATGGAGCCGAGCAAATCCCGTACTCCTGACTGAAAAAGCCTGGACAAGCTCGAACCAACTGTCCTGTAGAGCCACCTAGAGTCTAGACCACAACCTGCATATTTCTCGTGGCATCTGGGCCCGAAATCGACCACATCTTAATTCAGGTGAAGCCGCGTAGTTGCGCGTTTCGCACAATGTGCACCTTAAGCACTCCAACATCTCGTCGGTGAAGCAGATAAGCAGCTGATTAAAGAGAGCACCGTGACAATGTGCCATACCCGTCTATTTATTGAGTCGGCATTTTCCTGCTCTAACTGTCCCCTCGAAGCTACGATTGGCTTGAAGTGGGGAGTAGAAGAATATAGATAATATACATATATACATATACATATAATTACAAGTTGTCTTATTTATA